TGAGGGCAGAAAAATAAGCTAGTGCTCAGTTTTTAAATAGAAATTTGATAGAATATACATTTGAAAGTCAAAGTTTACTGAAGTCCAAGATGCAAGCTTAACATGAGCCTTTCAGTGTGAATATTGGAAAATTAATTGCTAGAGTTTAGACCATAATGTAAAAATGTAGGCACTTTGTAAACTAAAAGTAATTGTGACTAAACCATACGGTTGCTCTAATTTCAGCAGCTTGTTGGATAGTATGTCATTACTGTTCCTCATAGCTTCATACCTGGTTACCTGTCTGTAGTTTTCTATTTCTATTAAGTGTTCTCTTCTGCAAGGGGAATATTAAAGGTCAGGTGGCAAGATGCTCATGCTAATCAATGTTTCTAGCTGTGATATTTAGCTACTTGCTCCAGTGAGGATTCCCAGCTTTTGCAAAACATCTAAACATCCTTAGAGGTTTATTTTCTGCATAGTCTGTGACTTCTTTCCAGAGATACCAACACAGGTGATTCTTTAGATAACATTTCATTTTTTGCAGTCCAGTGGCAAAGCTATTTGTTAGTTACAGGCACATTCCCAGCAACCCCCCTGTGTCCTAGACCAGTGCTCCTATTTTGATCTTGGTCGTAAGGGTGAAGAGCGGGATCACTCCAGATCTGTTTACCACCGGATGCTGAAATATATATAGTTTTCCAAGTACTTCCTGATCCAAGCTTTTCAGTCCTGTTGTGTATCTCATCTCCTGCTGCTACCTCTCCTGCTAGGCTCCACAGTCAGTTGTTGTTAGGGATCTGTTTAGCATCCCTCTGCTCCCACTGATAGACTTTGAACTATTCTTTCTCCCAACCCAAAACAAGTCTTGCACAGCCAAAGTGGACTTATTCCTTCCATCCTGACGTCCAGCTCTGTGGGACTATTCTCTCTCCCCAGAGTCCAGCATCCTGACATGGATCTCACTTCCCATTGCTCAGCTCTTTCCTTTATCCTGGCCAGATGCTCAGGTGCCCTCTTCTCTGTGCCTTAAATAGGTTTCAACATATGTTCCAGAAGTTCACTCCCTCACTTTACAGTTTCTATAAGGAACATCATTGAGCAGTAAGAAAGCACTGGCTGAATTTCAACAAGTGTGACAACACACTTGGGTAATTAATAGGGGTGAGGAGGAGATAGAATTTGTGTATTTATGGTAATTATTTCTTTATTGTCTTCTAGATATGATATAAGCTCAGAGGCAGTGAGTACAGACTCTACCACTGAGGCAGATTTCTCTGTTTTGTAGAGTTATATATTTCATTCATTTCAAAGGCCAATTATGAGTTACTTGCTGCCTGCTAGGAACAATAGGCAGCTCTGAAAGGACTTACTCCCATTCTTCCAATCTATACCACATGTTTGTTGACTCCTTTTTCATCTGAGAATCCAAGGGTTCAAGGGTGATGAGTGAAACCCTCACCCAAGCAAAGGTGGTGCTAACGACAACAGCGTGCAGACAGCTTGCACTGCTGCTTTCTGTACCCTGAGCTAGAGGATATCAGTTTTTATGGCTCTCAATCTATTCCTCTGTAGTCCTGAGCTCATTTGGAATGTGATTTTTCACATTTGCATTGCAGCACTGACTTCTTATTAAAACAGCACTACATATAGAGGCACATATATACATATATATACATAGATACATATATGAGCTGGCAAAATCCCCTAAGAAACAAAGGAATCTCTGGCTGCTTCACCTGTGTTCTCCCTACTAACTCCACTCCCTCTGTATCTATGCCAAGTCTTGGAGCAGTATCTGACAAATATTGTTAAAAAGATCATTTCCCTCAAAACCAGTTCTCCCTTTTCCTGGCTGGTGGGTTCTCTATACCCCCTTTGAATGTATTGTGCAACCAATGAAAGGCAAGACTTAGTCCTACAATAGTCCTAGTTTTTCTGAAATGTTCTAAAAATCTGCCTATAAAGGTCCATTTGCTGACATGGAAAGCACTGCCATAATGCTGACAATAAATAATGTCCATGATAGTAGTTTCATACCATTAGACAATGATAATTCCCAGCCTCCTGCACTTAGTTCTTGGAAGGCTCTCAAATAAAATATCATTACTTTGAAGCTCTCTGGACACAAAATTGTCATTACATTTTAAGGACTTTAAAACTTCCTCTAAGTTTGGTAACTATAACTCTCGGAGCCAAGTTTTTAGAAGTGTTTAGGAACCCACACTTGGAGACGGAGCTACACAAGAACGCATCTTCTGGTTTTTAGCACTTTGGGCTAGCTGCTAGACAAAGCCTAGATTCAGTAGAGCACTTATGTTCTTATTTCAGGTTAAGTTTTGTTTTGGTTTGGTTTTTTTTTTTCCCCCAAATGGGACTATAGTATTTGCTAAAATGATATGCTCAAAAAATTGCTTCAAAGCAGATGTGATACTGAAGTGAAGCTTAATGATTTCTAGATAGATGTAGAGGTGACAAACGTGGTCCCAAAACAAGAACTTAAAAAACTTCTCTGTATCTGAGGAATTGTATGCATCTTCTATAGACTAGACACTGGTGGCTGGCCAGAATTCTGGGCACAGGGATATCCGCATGCTTCTGTAATTGTGCAGCAGTGTGCCAGTCAGCCTGACTCAGTCTTTGCACCTGATAATTTCTTCCCTAGCTACAGAAGCGATAAAGGAGCATTCTGCTGCTTGGATGCTCTGTTGTGTTCTTTCCCCACTTCAGGGCTGTAAGAGAATCTTGTTTGTGTCACCAAATAAGGCAACACTCAGAGAACAATCCCAGAAGGGCTGGAAAATAAAGAGTGTGGGTATTTTCCAAGTGCCAGCTAGAATACCTATAGCCAAAAGAGGACAAACAGCTTGGTTCCTTGAGCACATCCTTTATTGCTCTGTCATTCTCTGGGAACATTAGGGACTGTGTTTAAGGAGCTGCATCAGTTTCAGATGTTATGCACCTCATTAATCAAAACACATCCTTTTGGAAGGCAGTTGATTGCAGCTTAGGCACAGAAGTGCTTACACCTCAGCATCCCTAGTGCCTGGAGGAGGGAAGAAGAGGAAAAATACCTTTAATGCTATCACTGTCTTAGTTCACATTATCTAATCTACAGGAGCATTTGAAAATGGAGATTTATCTCACCAGAAAAGCTTGTTCTACCAGAAATTGTGATGAAAATAATAATATTAAATAATATTTTCACTGGGTAGCTTCACTGTAGCGTATTTCAAGTGAGTCACTGCCAGTCTAGGTTGTGCCAGGAGGTGGGAGGAGAAGAGGAGCAGGTGAATGCCTCAGAGAAAGGATTCAAGAGAAAGAGGGAGGGAGCAGCCAAACAAAGATGAGGAAGCATGTGCTGTCTGTGCGCATGGTGAAGTCACCGCCGGTGCCTACATTTCCTTCAAGTAAGAGCTGAAGTATCACCCTGCTGCTCTAAATGGCAGAGTTACTTTAAGTGAGAGACAGGTGACTCCTGCAAGGGAAAAGGTGAATATCTGCTGGTGGAAGCAGGAGCGCAGAGGTGGGGTGAGGATTTCCTCACTGCTTTCAGTGGGCATTCGGTGCCGGCGTTTGGCCTCCCTGCTTGTCTGCATGGTTCACGTCGTTTCCTTTTCCTAGGAGGTATGATTTTAGATGTGTAAAACAACAAGCGTTCTAGAAAGCCTCAGATATTGTATCTGTACAAAAATAGATGCAAACAGTCTCTCATATGGCTAAACAGATTCTTAATTTAACTCCACTGATTTCGAAGGCTTTACAGTAGGAAACAATCTGAACCAGTTTATCAATCTGAGAGAGTCTTGAACATAACAGAATAAACAGCCCTTCCCAAAGAAGCACAGGGTAGGACTGATTGCCACCTCTTCTCCTCCTTTTCACCAAAAAAACCTCTCAAAGAACAAAAGGTAGGGAAATGCCTGATTTTAGCCTTTTTCCTCCCCTTGTTTTGGCCTCTGTTTTACAAGATGCAGTGTAGCGAGCAGCAGAAGGAAGAAGGATTTCCATCCAGAGCTGTTCTTTTCCCAGAACCAGCCTCCTGGGAGACACACTTGTCGAGGGGGAGCCACAGAAAGTGCTGACTCAGGTGCCCACTGGGAAGTGGGTTTCCCCGAGTCGTAGGGAGAGCCCACGCATCCCACACGCTCCTTCGCCATCCCAGTCCAGCCTCCCAGAATCCAGTAGGGGAGCTCTTTGAGATGCAGCTGGATATATTTCTTTTTTTTTTGAATGACTTATACAGATCCATCCCCGCAGAGGAGAAATAGTAACGTTTGGCATGTCTGACGGGGAAGCAAGGCAGCAAAAGAAAAAAGAAACGTTCCAAACCGTCGGCGGTTTGCAGACAGGTAGAAAACACACCGTGTTTCCCAGCAGGCAAACTCCTGCTAGGAGAGACAGGCGCTCCCCAAGCCCCTGCTTTGCATGCAAGGGAGATTTTCAAGGTGAACCACCGGTATTCCTCTAGATTTGGATTTGCCCCTTCCCAAAAACCGCCCCTCTGTGTCTTCACAAGCAAACCTGCAACAAAGCAGCCACGACTCCAGAAGGAGAAAGGATCGTCAGCCTCTAAAAGGAATCTTCTTGCTCCTGTTTTTTTGGGGGGTTTTTTGTTTTTTGTTTTTTGTTTTTTTTTTTTTTTCGGGTGGTGCTGGTGGTGGTTATTTATTTATTTATTCAACGTGCTGCTGCTGTTTCAAAATTTACGGCCGCCTGGTATTTTTTTTGCGGTTAACCCAAGGAGGGCGTTGCGCCGGGGCGGAGCGGAGCTGCCCGGCGGCGGGAGCCCCGCGGGGCCGGGGCGCTGCGGGGCTGGGAGCCCGGCGGCGGCCGCTCCGCCTCGCACCCCCTGGGCAGGCAGGCGTTGCCCTTTTAAGAAAGCCGGGTGCCGGCTCAGGTAGGCAGAGCCTGCGTGCAGTAGTCGCTCCTATGGCAACCCAATAGAATGGGATCGCTTCATGAATATTCCCCAGGAGCAGGAGGCTGCATGAGGAATAAGTGATGGCAGTGATGTAAGCAAGCAGTGGCTGCTGCAGGTTGCAGTTCATTGTGTTATTGGCCGGCAGGTTGAGGAGTTTGAGGCACCCGGGGCTCGAGCTTCGCTTTCCGGATGATGTCTGCCCGCCGGGAGACACGGTACATTTGCATCTCGAAGCCAACATGGCAAGGCGGCTGCTGCTGCTGCCGCCCGCCCTCGCCTTCCAGCCAGAAGTGTGTGGCTCTCCTCTAGACTTCTTGCCCAGTGCTCTGGATCTGAGCAGGCAGGGATTGCAGTAGCACTCACCAAGGGGAGACAAGCAGCAAGTAGCCAAATCGGGACAACGGAGGAGAGAGGGGGGGGCTTTTTGACTTCCTTTTTTTTTTTTTTTTTTTTTTTTTTTTTTCTCCCCCCTTCCCTTCTGGATGCAGAGCCTGTGTTTTGATGCAGAGCCTGTGGATGCCACAGTCTGGTAAGGAGATGACACGCCAGTGTCTGGTCCCTTCTGCCCCTTGAGCTGGGGGCAGGGGCCTGGGGGCAGTGACGGTTCCCCTCCTCGGGCAGAGCGGGGGGGGGGTCTCTCCCTCCAGCTGAGCAGCAGCAGCGGCAGCAGCGACCATGGACAAGCTGCCCCCCTCCATGCGCAAGAGGCTCTACAGCCTGCCCCAGCAGATAGGACCCAAGGCGTCGATCATGGACGAGGAGGAAGACAGCGACAAGGACACCCGGAGGAAAAGCATCAGGCTGAAGCCGCTGCCTTCGCCCTCTGCGGGGAGCACCCGGGCGCTCGGGGGGGACCCCGGCAGAGGGGGGGACCCCGGCCTCCTGGAGACAGAGGCAGGCGGCAAGGGCGCCAAGACCAGCACCAACGGGGACTGCCGCCGCTTCAAAGGGAGCCTGTCCTCGCTGACCAGCAGGCACCTCCACGACGCGGCCGAGGAGAAGAGGCTGATCGGCGGTGAAGGGGAGCCGGCCTCCCCCAGTGAGGACAAGAGCCCCCCCGGCAGCGGGGAGCTGGAGCAGGGACTGCCCGCGCCCCCAGCACCAGCGTCCCCCCCAGAGCCCCAGCAGCAGCCCCCCCGGGCTTGCTCCTCTAGCTCCATCAAAGTGGAAGGAGGTGGAGGGTGCGACCAGATCACCCCAGATGAGGAGCAGAGGCTGGGCCAAGCTGGTTTCATGCAGAGGCAGTTCGGGGCCATGCTCCAGCCGGGGGTCAACAAATTCTCCTTGAGGATGTTTGGCAGCCAGAAGGCCGTGGAGAGGGAGCAGGAAAGGGTTAAGTCTGCCGGGTTCTGGATCATCCATCCCTACAGCGACTTCAGGTACAATCCCCCCTTCCTGGCCCACTCGGGACTAGCTGGCCTGCCCCTTCCCCTGCCGTGCCCGGCTCAGCCCCCGCCGCCAGCGCACACCCCCCGACGTAACTTTCCTTGTTGGCTTCCTAGTGCAGAGGAGCTGGAGGACACTTCCAAGAGCTGCTCCAGTCAAACAATCGGCAGGTTTACCTTATATTTACGCTTAATTTTAGTGTCCCCACACTAGTACTAATTTTAAGTCGTGTTTTTAAACCAACAAATGTCTTCCGCTTTGGCTTTTTCTAAAGGAAAGCCTCTCCATAAGCTCTGTGTAAACGGAGAAAAACGTTCCCACCTGATGCACAACTCTAGACTAAAAGTGTGGTGTCTGCTGCCTAACTAGTCCTATACCTCCAACTCAGAACATATGGTCTGCCTGATTAATGTTTCTGTTCCTATTTTCCTGCCTCCAAGCCCTCTCCCCTCTCTTTCCCCGAGAGTTAAGGAAGGGTGTTGCTGCTGTTGCTGTTCTGTAGGGCTTCTTACTGCAGCATCGCTTCTCAGGAATTGGTATGTGCAGGGGATAGCAGCATTCATTAAGAAGGAACTTAACACCTTCAGAGTCTCACAGAGGCAGATTTTCTGGTTTGCATCTCTAGATCCTTACTTGCAAAATGAATTCACATAGCGAATAGTTAACATTGTCTTTATGAAAGGAATGGCTTGCTTTCACTCACACAGCAACCTTTCCATGAAGGTTAATAAGAAAATTAACTTGTAAGCCCCAAAGCCATTTTTTGTATAGTTCTGTATTGCAGAGGGGTTGTGTTTGGGTATTTCTGAGTAAAGTGTTTTCTATTGCACAGGTGAATTGTCCTCTGTAATATGTATGTAAAGTACTTCAATCAATAATTAATTACTTAGTGCAATCAATGGCTAAGGTTTATTGCTTCAACTTTAATTACAACTGGCTTACATCTCACATTTAAAAGCAGACAGTGGAAGAACATTATTCAAACACATGTCTATCAAACTACATGATTTTATGGAATTCTTGGACTCTTCAAGAAACCTTGCGTTATTCCCTAAAAGACAGTTAGCAAGATAACTGCAGGAAGGAGTTCTAGGGTGGATTTGGGTGCCCAAAGACAGAAGTGACAGAAACCTCTTGACACTACCTTTTAGGGATTTAGCAAGCAGTCCACACGCTTAGAGGATTCAGCACTGGCACTGAGCAGATTCCTTGATACTTGCTTGGATTAACAAATGTTGTTAGAAGGCTACGTGAATTGGAAGACTGCACTGTCGTTTAAATTCAGTGCATTCAAGTGTCCCAAGCGCACAGCTGACGGAGCATTTTGGGGGTTTCCAGTAGCTACATCATGATACATAGTCCTTGCAAATACAATTCAAACCCAAATTGGAAAGAGCACAAAATTGCCTCCCAGTTGTGACTGATCAAATAATACCTCACAAACAGAGTGAAATGTGAGAGTGATTATCTTAAAAAGAGCAAAACCAATTTCATACTCTTGGCTATAGATCTTTGTATTATTTGCCATGAGTCTGGAGTTAAAAACTAACGACTGTGCTTTCATGGGTTATTCTAGCAAGGTGTTCTCTGTGTCACACCCTCACGGAATTTTGGATTTAGTCTCTGGACTGTATTTGGATTTATGCAAAAGTAGCGTTCAGTTTGCATATCTTTTTTATATCTGTATAGTGGATTTATTCCCTTCCATCTTGATGACTGCATTTTCAGCACAGACCAACAAACTTCAGTAAAAGGATTGTAGCAGTAGCTGAGGCTTGCCCACGGTCCTAAGAGTTTATTTTTCTAAGTTTCCTAGTGAACCAGTGCTTATTCCTCAAAATGGCAGAGTAAATTATGAGGTTAGTTTTTGTTTCTGAGGTTCTTGGCTATAGGGCCACTCCTAGCCTTACACAAAGGAATGAAATATGCAGGCGAGCTTAGACTCTCCCAAACCAGACGATCACACGGACTCTGCTAACACTCAGCTGTTCGTATGCATGCAGATGTATATGAATGTATGACTCGTTAGTATTAATAATATAATCCTCCCTTGATGTAGCTTTGCATTTGTGCAGAGAAATCACAGTGACTTGGATATCTGCACCCTGGTGCGAGGCACTCTCTGCTTGGGGTCAGATGCCAGGTAGGCAGGTATCTTGCTGATTTGTGTTTCTTCTAAATTGGTGCTAGAAGCCTAGCACACAAGTATGTGCTTTCTCCCTGCTATCATATATCAACATCAGATGGGGCAGTGGTACTGATTGTACAGAGAAACATCTGAAGGGACCAGGAGGAGTTGGATGGTCAGTACGTATATTTTCTGGGGAACTTTGTTCAGCCCTGTTTCTAGGTCACTTGCAGCATATCTGTTTGAATATGAATGTCGCTTAGAGAAAACGCGTGGGCTTCTGTGAAAAATGACCTATGAACACAATGGCTGCCTGAAGGAGAAGAGTGGGAGCTTTCCCAGATTCTGTTAGGGTTTTGTATTCACTCCTTCTCTGAATGCTACTAAAGCATCTGTCTTGGAAACAACTCACATGAATATGAATAACATTTTTTGACCTCTGAAACGCAGCAGATTGTACCAAAGAGCAGATATTATAAAAATATTTGCAAGAGCTATATCGTTGACCTAAAGGACTCTATTTTCTGCTTTGCAAATTACGCAGTGCAATGCGTGATTGCTCCTTACTATAGATGGGTGCAGATTCTGAAGCATTAGGATCTTGTAAGAGGCATGAGTCTCCATTATCTTGCACTTCGCTGTCACCAAAGCTGGGCAGCAGCATTTGGTGTAGAAGTTTCAAGTTAATATTTAGACCCAGATCCTGTTTTCTGCCTTTTTGCAGAAACAAGTTTCACTCTGAGAGTGAGGTGCATCTCCAGGTGTTTTGATAGAGCTCTAGACCTCATGACTACTGAAGTTTTGAATGGAGCATTCCAGCCCTATATACTGGAGCTGGATTCTGCTGCGAAATTATATTAGTGTAATTCCTCTGACTTCATGGAATTGCTTCTCCTTTGCACTATGTGAGACGAATTCCTGTTTTAGAATAGAACAGAGGCTTTCATCATAGTCTCATTAAATTATCATTTTAGCATCTAATACGGCTAATTCCAGTGGCAAATCTATGACCCTCCGAGAGTAAAGCAAATTAATATAGATTAAGGCTCTGTTGATTTCTGCTTTTAGTCTATTGTGAGGGGAAAAGACACCAAATGACCTTTATAAAAACCAAACTGAGTGCCCCTGAGTACTTATGACTAATGCAGTGGACTAGGTCTAGAAGCACTTAAAAGCTGTTTTAGCAATTTCTAGTGAAAATAAGAATACTAGCTTCTATTCTGAGGTGCAGATGTATATGCTAGCGGCTTGAGTTTATTTGCATCTGTGGTTGATTGCACATCGGTGCAGAGCCAAACTGTATTTCCTAGATCAAGATTTATCAGCGACTTTGAAAGCTTTTTTCACTGGGTAGATAGAATTGTAATTTATTGCTTAGAGGAAGCATTGATCCAGTACAATTGGTTTAATAAAAAAATTCTGGACAAACAAAGATCTATCTAGTTTGTAGCTGACTGAAGCATATTGGTTGTAACAACTATCCAGAATTGCTTGCAAAAAAGTGTAGCATGCTGCTTTTAGAAAGGCCTGAGAACAGATACACTATCTGAAGGACCAAAATAATCCAAACAGTGGATGTAAATAGAATCGCACATTATTCACTGCCTAGTAATCTGTTAACTTCTTCACAGAAAAGAGAAGCTGCTGCCTCCTTCAAAACAGTGGAAAATGTTCCATTCAGTAACAGTCCCAACTTCAAATTTTAGAATTTTTCTTTTTACTGTTCTCCCTTATTTGTAATACTTGTCTGCAAACAGATCCCTTTTTTTTTCATTAGCTTCCTCTGCCAGAGCCTCGTGTCTGCTTGGGAACCTGGGGAGATTTCTGTGGCACCAAAAGAAATAGATGCTCAGGTGTGATGTATAAGGTAGGGGAAATTCAGAAGAACAAAATCATTCGCTCCCCTTCATGCTGCTCCAGACCTCTAAGCAGTGTCAGACTGCCTTCTCGTGGGGAACCAGTGGGATTTACTAATTGTGGTACTAAATACTGAACCAAATAGCACTGGTGGGCTTGAGCAAAAATGAGAAGGATGTGTGTTTACCTTTCCCGCTCTACTGAGTGGGACTGATTTCCAGATTGCCTCACAGTCTGTGGACTGTTTTCATTCATAAGCTTTTCACTATTTTGTTAGAAGGATAAACAATTTGTGAAGCGTCCTGCACTGCTCACTGACTTGGGCAGTTCACTTGGGTGGGTGCTGCTCTCCCTGCTCCCAGACAATAACGCCCTTTTCTTTACTTGCTGCCCAGAATGCTGCTGCTTCTGCTGGCCTCGCTTCGTGCCTATCCACACTCAGAGGCTGCCCACAGTGGCAACCTCTAATCTTGTGACACAGCCACTGCTTATAGGAAAGTAAAATGAAAGCTACCAGTTGTGTGAGCCTTATGTAGAGCAAATTGAAATTCTGGTTCAGTGAAACCTCTGCTTAGAGGGAAAGATCGGGCAAACAGTTGCATTAGTAGCAGAACCCGTGCCTGTCATTAGAAACAAACACAAAGTGCAAAGCAGGCACAGGTTCATAGGTAGACAGCTGTAAACTTGGCTGCCTTCTTTTCTTGTTCATACTTGTGGCAGCTGCCTTAAAATGGTGTGGGGACACTGCTAGCTGAGGAAGGGGGCTTTCCTGAAGTCAGATCTTGCTGTCTTTACAGCAGACAACTTTCCTGCCAATTCCTAGGGCAGTTTTGCTGGAGCAGAACGAAGGGATCCAAACAAGATCAAACAGTAATATGAGGGGTAATCCAGGTCCTGCTGAACAGCATGGATTGGATTTCTGTTGTCTTCAGTGGACTGTGAATCAGGCTGCAGGAAACGAATCATGGTTTTGTGACCATGAACTAAGGGGACTGAGCTAGTGCAGCC